GGTGGTGGAGTGGGATGGGATGGGATGGGACCATAGAGGCTATGCCCTGCCTGCCCTATGGATGCGGGGTTGGCCGGATAAAGCTGTTCCCAACACAGTAGGGCTCCGGCTACTTTTTGGGCAGGCAATGGAGGGCAGGGGGCCTGAGATGTATGGTGTCCCCACAACGTCGTGGGAGCACTGGGCTGAGCTGGGAGGCCATGGCCCCTCTGCGGGGCTGCTAATACGAATAGCCCCTTTGCCCCCCCGGGAAGTGGGGTTGGGGACTCGCCCAGAGGCAACCATGAGCCGTGGCGACCAGCCGCCCACATAGCTGGTGGGGGGAGAGGGGCCCACCCCAGCAAGGTAAGGGGGGAAAAGCGACCGGTGGGCAGTTTGGGGGTTGGGGATGCCCAGGCTGTGCCCGGCAGCTGTGACCCCAGGTGGGTGACCCTGGCTGGCCCCTGCCTCAGTTTCCCCACTGGGAGCAGGGAGAACGAACGTGACGTGGGCTGGGAGCTGAGCCCACCATGGGGCAGGGAGAGCTCCCCCAGCCCTGCCTTCCCCTGCCCTGTCCCAGGACAGCGAGCCCCCGCCAGTGGGGCCACCGCCGGTAGGACCCCCGCCCGCTCCTTGCCGGGAAAAAGAAGGAAACAGCTCGGAGGATCCTGCAGTTTTAGCTCCCACTGGGCTTCCTCTCCCACAGTACGCAGGTGCACACGCTGCTGCCAGCACGTGCAGGCGTATGCACATGGGTGCCTGCACACGCATGTACTTACAAGTGTGTGTGCGCACACAAAATGACAGGGCTGCATTTATGCCTGCTGACACACGCATACATATGCATGCATATATGTGCTTGCACGCACACATGTGTGCACACACACAGCCCCTTACAGGCAGGACATGAGTGCCTTGTAGGGCTGCAGGGCTGGCTGACCCCCGTCCTGTGTGCGAGCTGCTGTGGGGAGGCAGAGGCAGCCCCAGCTCCAGCCGAAAGCGGGGCGTCCCATTGCTCAGGGACATGGAGGAACACCCAGAGGCGCCCAGACCCTGCGGGCTGAGCTCAGCTGCAGCCCCCCAGGCCCAGTGCGTGGGCACCACGGAGCCGGGGGCTGCTGACATTCACCGTGCAGCGACGTGGCATCGCCTGCCTGCACGGTGCCCCGAGCACCGATGCTCGCTGGCTGGCTGGATTACGGCTGTCACTTTGAGCAGCATAACCTTCCCCTAACGCGAGGGGCCGTGTTTGCTTTCGCCGAAAATCACCATGCCATGGAGGGCAGCTTACAATTAGGTTTCTGGTTCTCTATTACTTCACCTCTTAATATTTAACTAAATAGCAACACAACTGTGGCTCAGGGCACCTGGAGGGAAAGCAGCCGGGGTGGAGGGGAAAGCCCCGCACAGCCCCAGCACGGTGCGACAGCCCCAGCCCTGCACACCCCCATGTTTTCCCTCTTTTCTATTTCCCCCTGCCCTCTCTCTTGTTAGCAGGCAGGAAAACTGACATAAAACCTCCCCGCCACTAAACTTTCTACCCTGTGTGTCAAAGTGTACGTTTTCTTTCAAACTGCCTGGCACTTTGCTTTCACCCAGCCCCCTCCCCACTTGGCATTTGATGCCAAATGGGTCCCATCAGCCCATGGCACGGCACGGGGATGATGAAGGCAATGTGTTTGCAGCCCCGCACGGCACTGGGAGCATCTTCCCTCCTCCCAGTCCATTCTCCTGGGGGCTCAGGGTGGTAGGGAGGAGCTGGAGGAAGACCCACGGTGCACACGCCTGCCCCGGGGGCAATCCTTGGGGTGACTTGTGCAGCTGACCTACCAGAAGCAGGGCAGAGGGGAGCACAGCGGGAGCCCAGCCCCGCTGCTGCTGTGTGGAGTCTCTGCTGGCTTTTAAGGGCTGAGCCCCACACTCCTTCCCCCTCCCTTGCCCATTTCCGTCACATAAGGGGTGCTGCTGAGCTTCCAGTGCCTCCATCTCTGCCAGCACAGGCTGAAGCTGGGTGGGTGAAGGGGGACTGGGCTCAGAGAGGGTTTGGGGAAAGCTTGGCTAAACACAATGCTCTGGGCTTCCCTGGGGACTGGCACCTCCATGCCAGCCTGGTCCTTCCCCTGCCCCAGGTCCTGTTCCTGCAGCACGTTGCCAGCAGCGAGGCTCCTCTCCAGTCTCCTGCAGTCACCAGTAACCACGGCATCCCGATGCCTCCAGGAGCATCAGCCTGGGGCCTCCAGCCCAGCTGTGCCCCTTTGCCAAGGCACTGCGTTTGCTCTCGATAAGGGAGAGGATTTTCTCCTTGCCAGAGTCAGGACGGGGCTGGCACCTTGCGCACACGTTGCCATTGCCAAGGCGCCCACAGCGAGGTGCGTGTGCTCACCCCAAGCACTCAAGGCCAGCGCCTACCTTGAGGCAGAAATGGGGACTTTGGGACCGGGGATGTTTCTAAACCAGCGGACGCCTCCAGCTGCGGACGCTCGCACAAAGCTCGTGCTCCAGCTCGGTTTTCCCCTTCGCCAGGGCC